TAGGCGGGTAGGTCAACTGCGGTGGGATGAAGTGTGGAGTGCTCTCCCACCCCGGCCAGTGCAGAAGAGTAGGCCAAATATCCTTGTCGAGAGGGGCTGGCGAGAGCTCCCTGTGGTGGAGGGACCTCCCTCCCGCCGGCAGTGGTGTGAGCAAGACATTTCAGGGCTGCACCTTTACCTTTGTACTTTATCTTCACCGCTGTAGATCTCTGACGAATATACATTCGCAGACCATACGCCTCCTTCACACAGCTGTCCCTGCACCTCAAAAAAACAACTGTTTTGTACACTTCCCATCAGCCACCTGCCCTCTGGGAATGCACAAATTCAGCGGCATTCGGTCAACACAAACTCTGCACCAATATTGTCATACAGCGTCTCCACGGCAGAGGGATGGGATGTTGAACTTCTTTCGCACCGTACGTAGCCAACCGTGCTAATCGGATGGTCGGTGATGTGCGAAGCAAAACAGATATTTTTCGACTTAAAGCTTTCGTGACTGCAGGGATTCATCTTCTTGGTTCTTTCGGTAAAGTCACATAGAAGGGAAGTAATACAATAATAAAAATAACTTGAGCCTGGTGGTGTTCATTCAGACGCTCTCTTTCCGACAGCCCTGTTCTTCACCTGAGGACGGCTGCTTGCGTTGTGGCCGAAACGTCGTGAGAATTGTATTTTATTATGTTTTATTTTTGTTATTTTATTATTTCCCTTCTACGTGACTTTACCGAAAGAACCAAGAAAACAGATATTGTACAAATGTGTGAAGGACGTGTATCGTCAGCCAATTTTACTCTGTTACTTATATTTCCCACAGCGACGACGATTATTACAGCAATTTTGCGTTTTCACATCTGTGGACGCGGATTGTCCGTCGTGGGCCGCCCCCGAGGGTGTTCCAACAATGTAAACGGCGATCGGTGCGTCACCAAACACCTGGTCAAGTGAAAATATAATTCGCCGACACCTGTATTTAAAACAGCGGCCAAGGATCACAATCACCGCTCCGCATTTGTCTTGCAGGGTCAAGGCAGTGCGGTAAGGCAGTGCCGGATTAAGCTAGTGCGGGGTCTGTCGCACCTGCTATAAAGGGGCCCTAAATAAAAAAAACACGTAAATATGAAAACACACATTTTTTACTTGCACAGTAAAGCAATTGAATTTTTCATTTGCTCTACAGCCAGATAATACGACAAATTGCTAACCCTTAACACCCAGTCGTTCGTAAAAGTTTAAGGCGCTATAGTACTCTAGTAATAGAGCAAGTGCAGAATCACTGAACCGGAATTGATAGCTTGAAAGCATTTAGCGCGGGGCCCTTGAGAGTGCGGGCCCGTAGCTACTCCATATGCAGCTACTTGTGCTACTAGGAGAATCCGGCACTGCAGTAAGGGCGCAGACCAGCGGTCCCCAACCTTTTTGGCACCAGGGACCGGTTTCGTGGAAGACAATTTTTTCACGGACCGGGGGGGGGGGCGGGGGTTCATCATTGGGTCTTTCCCCCTTTTCAAAGAAGCTCTCCAGCGACGTTTGTATTTTACTAATTTTGGCTACTAGGGGTTAGAGCTTGTGGGCTTACCAACACTGTGACTGAGACAAGTGTGCAGTGCGGGAAAGAGGCGCGGACGGAAGTGGTAAATAATAAAACAATGGGGGCGGGACACGCGCGGACTCACCGCTCACCACTATGCGGTGTGTAGAGTGTGTACACACACGGACTCACCGCTCACCACTATGCGGTGTGTAGAGTGTGTACACACACGGACTCACCGCTCACCACTATGCGGTGTGTAGAGTGTGTACACACACGGACTCACCGCTCACCACTATGTGGTGTGTAGAGTGTGTACACACACGGACTCACCGCTCACCACTATGCGGTGTGTAGAGTGTGTACACACACGGACTCACCGCTCACCACTATGCGGTGTGTAGAGTGTGTACACACACGGACTCACCGCTCACCACTATGCGGTGTGTGGAGTGTGTACACACACGGACTCACCGCTCACCACTATGTGGTGTGTAGAGTGTGTACACACACGGACTCACCGCTCACCACTATGTGGTGTGTGGAGTGTGTACACACACGGACTCACCGCTCACCACTATGTGGTGTGTGGAGTGTGTACACACACGGACTCACCGCTCACCACTATGCGGTGTGTGGAGTGTGTACACACACGGACTCACCGCTCACCACTATGTGGTGTGTGGAGTGTGTACACACACGGACTCACCGCTCACCACTATGTGGTGTGTGGAGTGTGTACACACACGGACTCACCGCTCACCACTATGTGGTGTGTGGAGTGTGTACACACACGGACTCACCGCTCACCACTATGTGGTGTGTGGAGTGTGTACACACACGGACTCACCGCTCACCACTATGTGGTGTGTGGAGTGTGTACACACACGGACTCACCGCTCACCACTATGTGGTGTGTGGAGTGTGTACACACACGGACTCACCGCTCACCACTATGTGGTGTGTGGAGTGTGTACACACACGGACTCACCGCTCACCACTATGTGGTGTGTGGAGTGTGTACACACACGGACTCACCGCTCTCACCTCCTGCTGCTGTGCGGCCCGGTTCCTAACAGGCCACGGACCGGTACCGGTCCACGGCCCGGGGGTTGGGGACCCCTGGCGTAGGCAATATGCGCAGGCATGGCCGCCCAACACTCGGCAACCGATATATATTTAGTCCGTAATAATAGTGGTCATTGGGTTAGATCGCGTAAATATAAATCTAGAAATATAAATGCGTCGTAAAACCCGCCTCCACCCGACACCGCCAGGTTAGTTGAGGGTTCGTCACGTAAACAAAACGTGCCAATTCGTTACGAGTACAGCACTAACCGGTGTGTTGGAGAATAAACCCACAACATTGTTTAAACAAAAACACATCCCATCTTATTTGCAGGAATATTTAGTATATGTTTCATAATAGATTTAAACGATAATTAAATACCGTACAGAACTGTGAAATCTATTCTGTAATGTCATGGGATATGAGGAGTGGTGCGCCATATGAACCCAGCTTTCCCCGAGTTAGATTCCTGTAAATTGGTAACATTAGTGCCGATTGACATCTGAATCGGTACTGTGTCTCCCCTGGTCGCACCCCCTTTACCAAATCGCACGTACTTCATAACCAGCGTGGTGAAGTATGTTCAAACGACCTCCATATCTGACACGGCAGCCGTCTGGAACGCTCTTCCTCTCCGATGCTAGGAAGCCACTGGAGCTATGCACTGGTAAATCTATATTGAGAACTCGTTTGTTTAGACCTACTTTTTTGCATTTTATTTGTCCTTCCCCCACACCTCCGATTACCTCGGTTGGTTACGTACGGTGCGAAAGAGGTTGATCATAGATACAGCGTATAAATACCTCGGTGTGGCTGTTCAAGTCTTGGCTCATTATGATTCTCTTCTCTGTAGTCTGAGACTAACCGAAGATCAAATGTAGACTTATCCCTCCGGTTGGTTACGTACGTTGGGAAAGACGTTGATCATAGATACAGCGTATAAATACCTCGGTGTGGCGGTTCAAGTCTTGGCTCATTATGATAATCTTCTCTGTAGTCTGAGACTAACCGAAAGATCAAATGTAGACTTATCCCTCCGTCGATCGGTATTTGCCGCCTCCCCTCGACGCACATGCCCTACTTTCTATATACAGGCTTGTTTTTACTTGGCTGCATTAATATAAATAAAATGGCCAGATATGATGTAGATTTAACAATTGACTCGTTTGATAAGACTTCCATTTTTATCAGTGTGTCAGGAAGCAATTCTGAGCTTTTTTTTTATCGCGCAACTCTCACGGGTCCAGTCCATCACGAATGTGCACTATAAGGGGCCATGCATTGAGTACGTACACATGGAGGGGGGGTTAACCCAAATGCGTAACTTGCGTATGGGGGAGTCTACTGACAATGTATGTACGCATAGGAAACGGGGGGGGGGTGGTGAAGCCTCAATAATAATTTGTCTACATTGGCCTTCAAATGAGTTATTCATCCGTGATCGTTTCTGCGTGGATTAAATATCGGCCGTTCTATAGGATTTTGGGGGGGGGGGGTGTAAAAAGTCCGCGTGCCTACAGGGAGGGGGGAGGGGTCAAGTTTTGACAGACTTTTGCGTGCCTACTAAAGGGATGGCCCCTAACCGCACGTAGTATGCTCTTTGGAACGACACCACTTTGAGTCTCTCTCGCAAAACTGGCTCAGGCTCGGGGATGGATCTCGAACTTGAGCTGGTACCTCGTTCCACGTCTTCGGGTCCGTAGACCCCGATAGCGCGCTGGTGTAATGCATTACCTATTACTTTACTTACCCTAACAATGTGCTGATGCAATGATGTTATAAATTGCACTGCACTGTATACCTCTGTGGTTACATACCCCCCCACCACCCCCCACCAAGCCTTCACCTTCTCTCTTCTCTCACGCTCATGCCATGCAACAATCCCCGCTGTGCATCTGCACACGGGAGCTGATTTAAATTGCTCGTCAAAACATTACCGCATTTATTGTCATGGCCAGTGGCACTCGGATTCCTCCAGTCAAAGTAAAGACTCTGAATAAAGATTCTTATGTAGGAGGGGCACCACGGTGGTGAGATGTTAACTCCCTCGCCCGATATGCAGGAGGTTAATGGGTTCGATCCCATCCCTGATGCCAGTGTATTTGGAGTTTGCATGTTCTCCCCGTGGTCGCGTGGATTTTTCTCCGTGTCCTCCGGTTTATCCCTCCACATTTTAGAAACAACACGCATTTAGAGTATTTGACTGCTGTAAATTTCCACATGATGATAAGCCACTTCCTTGAGCTATCATTTGTGGCCAGGTCACTTCTGAAAAAGAGCTACATAGTTCAGCGGGCCTTAGCTGGTAAACTAAAAATAGTTTCTAGACAGTGGGTCTTGTAAATCCAACCAACCGTGGTCAATCCTGACTGTTGCACCTCCTGTCTGCCCTCAAACCAGGCACTGTGTCCTTGAACATCGAGGAAAGGAATGGCGAGAGGTACTTTGTCAACTACCCTCAAGTGGACAACACGGAGGACACCAGGAGATGGTGAGTGGATATTCCATTGATGCATTTTAACATATGAATGCATATACAGTACTGCGAAGGGCTGTCCTCAATATACACGTTGCCCTGGTTACACAAAATTGTCTCGTCTTCATGGCTATCACTCATTTTCCCTATCTCCATATTTCTCTGTCTATCTCAGTATCTAAATCTAGCCAGTCACCTCGATCGCCCATCCCAAAGGCTGCGACTGATGCAATTTGTGTGTGTGTGTGCTAATGACCAGCTCTGGTTTGGCAGCGGAGGTCTCACTCCAAACCAGTGGAGCAGCATTATAATTTCAACAGCTGTGTAACGCTGTGTGGAAGCTACCCTTGGCCTGTCGCTCGGAACAAAGCTCTAGGTCTTCTCGGCCACAGTTATGGCTTCCCTTCTCTATGCTTGCGAAACGTAGAGCCCTCTAATGGAACATCTGTGCTGGTTTAGAACATTCGGGCTAGCCTGCCTACGATCCATCCTGGGTCGAACCAGACTGGATTGTGTGAGGAGTTCACAGATCCTTGAAATATCAGGACACGAAGCTGTGTTGGCTGGGTCATGGAGCCCGCATGTCCAGTTGTTCAAGGAGATTTTGTTCGGCCAGATAGATGGGGCTAAACAGGCGCGGCACGGGCTAGAGAAGAGATGGACTGAAATATTTGGAGCTGATTGGACTGCCGATGACTGGTGCCAGCAGTGTCGATATTGATTTCTGTGGAGGTGGTTCGTGAAGGATGCTGCAGTGGTTAGCGCGCTGTGCTAGAGCCCAGCAACCCAGTGACTATCATTTGAACCGGTCCTGGGCCTCCTCCAGGTACACTCAGCCTCCTCCAGGTACACTCAGCCTCACATGAGGACCTGGTGTAGTGTGTAAACATCAGCACTATGGAGACAAAGTTCAGTCGGGCGTGGTCCTGACTACCCACCCCCTCGTATGCCGTGCCGGCCTTCATAGGTGCTCGCTTACAGCACTTTCCCCAAATGTCGGTTTAGGCTATACGGGGGATCTTTGTCTTTGTATGTACATAATAACGTACAGCGCTTCACTGCCAGATAAAGGGCCTCCCACACTCTATTGGATATGTGGGTTGTTTGACTATACTTCACCATGCTAGTCACTGCAGGTAAGTGAAGGGCTGGCCTATGATAGGTTCTGATATCGTTCACCAAAAATAATGTTCGCTGAGCTTGAGAATCAAACTTAGATTCAGAGAGCATTGTACTCGCCACTACACTCCCACTCCACCCTTATATTTAGTATTTAATTAAAATGGCATTTTATTATTTATAGCGATCACTTACAATGTTTTTGTACAAAATAATGCATAATATAAATACTGTTCTTGTTTGTGCTTATCAGGTTAATTGAAGTTACAGTCAGTTATATTTTTGGCAAACAAATATAGTGTTTAAAACTCCTAAAACATTGAACTGAGCAAGTGAGGCAGGCGGTTCATAACAGCTGTTTCAGTGGACCCACGGCATTGCTGAGGCCCCGAGTTAGAATCGGGGGGGGGGGGGGGTGCTGCGCTTCTCCCAACACGACAACATTCTCCGTTGTCGCTTGAAGCGAATTCCTTTTCTTCGCCCCGTGACTGACACGGACAGCGCCGTGAGATTACGATCGGAGGCGATCAGCGTCTCGTCGTCGTTTGCGAGCAGCGAGCAGCAGAATGGACGTGAGGGCGGCACGAATGGCGGAATGGATTTCGGCCCGGACGCTCCTCCCGCTGAAAATGGCAGTGACGTCCGCAACAAAGACTTCTGCGCGCGGATAGAACGCCTGCAGACAAAGTTCAAGGACCAGAACCAACACAGTATCCTCCGTGCCGCACTGCACTCTCTCACACCTGCGCCGGCAAGAGTACGTGCGGTAAAGCGGTTTTGTCAATCTACCACTGGATGATGGCCTTCCCACACCGTACTGTCCGTCGTGGGTTTTTTTGACGTTGCTTCATTATGCTGGTCTCAGTGTGGGTTGGCGAATACGGAAAGTAAAGATGTGGGGGGGGGGCATAGAAGTACAGTCTAACGATGGATTTGGCTGTGCTCTCCTCCGCTGCCCGAAATGAAGCCTCGAGCTGAAAGACATTTGTAAAGGCATATTTCGGCTAAATTTCACATCAACTTTGAAAGAAAACCCAACGAGATGCAGGTGCAGCCCTGGAATTGTTTGCTCATGAATCAGAATCTGTATTTAGACTGGAGGAGGAATCCGATAAGCCATGAAGCTCTTTTTCACAGACGTCCAGTAAATTGGGACTACGCGACATAACATTCGTCACCCTCCTGAAAAATCGTCACGGAGCCTCGGCGAGGTTTTCCTGAGTAGACGAGCGTAACAACAATAACAATAAAACACGCCGCTGATGACGACGACGATGATGATGACGATGATGATGATGACGACGATGACGCCGACGATGACGACGACGACAATGACGACGCCGATGACGACGATGATGACGACGACGACGACGACGATGACGACGATGACGACGACGATGATGATGACGATGATACAATTGATTCCTTGACGAGCACCCCGCAGGGTTCATCCTGCTGGAGAACCTGGTGTCCGCGTACGTGGCGCCGTGCATCCTGGACCTCAAGATGGGCGTCCGGCAGTACGGAGACGACGCGCCCAAGGACAAGAAGGCCCTGCACACGCGCACGTGCCAACAGAGCACGTCGTCCGTGCTGGGCGTGCGCGTCAGCGGCATGCAGGTACAAACAAAAAGAACACCGGCCAAGAGAAACAACGATGGTAACACTCGAGTGAGGGGCACGCAACCGTGTTCCATTGATTTACGTGCATAGACACAGAGTGGCTTGCTAGCTTCCTTTTGTATTTCCACAACCCCCCAAGTTTATCCCAATTGCGACATCAACATCATGTCGCGAGACGAGAAATGTTCTCGGATCTAACATCACGTCGCCATGGGGGTGCCACGGTGGCGAGATGTTAACTACCTCGCCCGGTATACAGAAGGTCGTGGGTTTGATCCCGACCCTTACGCCTGCTGTATATTTGGAGTTTGCGTGTCTCTCTCCCTGTGGTCGCGTGGATATTTCTCCGGGTCCTACGGTTTGTCCCTCCACATTTAGAAGCATGCCTTTTAGAGTATTTGGCTGATATAAATGTCCACGTGAGAAACCACTTCGTTGGGTTATCATTTGTGGTCAGGCCACTTCTGAAAAAGAGCTGTATAGCTCAAGGCGGCCTTACCTGGTGAAAGAATAAATAGTTGAGAGCGTAGTTTTATCACCCAGAACAACGCAAGCCTTTGTGTTCGAGAACGGCCCACAGAAGCAGAAATTCCAGAGCTACCTCTGAGGTGCCTTTGATGACCTCTGGACCACACGTCATGGGGAGGGGGAGCACTTCCCCAATGGCTCTGCCATGTGAGGGCGAAGTTCGTCGCTTGACCATCAAACTGATATTTTAATTCTCAAAAACTGTAATTTAGCCAAATTTTAAATGTGGAACCAAATTTCAACATAATGGGTTTTTTTGTACAGTTATTGTGACCGGGCTGAAACGATCAACTCGCTACACTCGAGAACCGGTTGAATCACATACAGATGACTGAACGTAGAATGGCTTTTTAAGCGTCGTCATCTTTATCCTCTGCCGCCCCTCACAATCCCGCGATGTAATATTCCACCTAGCACCTGCATGCATTATTTATTTGTGGAAAATTGACATGACGGTCACACGGTGACATCCTCAGCATGGCTTGTAACACTGTGACATCAGTTGCTTCGGTTGAAATGCCATTGGCACTTAATCGTCCGAGTTAAACATTCTACTGCATTTTTTTTATTCCCTCCCAACAATGGTCTCTTTTGGTTCATAGAACAAATTGTCTGTGACTTTAGGCTTGCTTCGCAGTCTTTTTCGATAAATTTCGATTTAAAGCTTTCGTGACTGCAGGGATTCATCTTCTTGGTTCTTCTTTCGGTAAAGTCACCTGAAGACGGCTGCTTGCGTTGTAGCCGAAACATCGTGAGATTTATTTGATTTTATTATGTTTTATTTTTATTATTTTATTACTTCCCTTCTACGTGACTTTACCGAAAGAACCAAGAAGATGTGTGGAGTTAACTTACATCAGTTGTTATAATGGCTCCGCTCCGCCAATGAGATTCAGTCAACTTGATTCAGGGTTTGCCTGCTTGTACAAATGCTGCTGGAAATCATTGCTGTCGTAGAGCTGTGTCCTTCACTTATTTTCAGAGGGGGGGGGGGGGTACTTTCGCTGCTAAGACATCCGTGTAAGGAGCTCCTGGCCACCACACATGAAACCATTGGGTTTGACAGCACGATGATGGTGTTTTCACATTGTGTATTGTCAGGGGCCGCACGTCGTCAGGGGCTGCACTAAAGGCCACCAGGGGCCGCCAGTGGCCCGCGGGCCTTGCAACGAAGAACGCTGTCATAGAAGGCCCATAGACTGACTCGTGTTGTCAGGCGGCTCCCGGCACACGAAGCCAAACGTCAGACGTCGCACTCAACAGCGCTCCGTACAACCCGAAACGCATCGAACAGCGAGTAATACTTTGTGCACCGAGAGCCCACCTTCCTGAAACAACAACCGAAATCCTCGCCTGGGTCCCTCCCTCCTACAGGTGTACCACGTGGACACACGGCAGTACGTGCACATGGACAAGTACGTCGGGCGCAAGCTGTCGGTGAACGGCTTCAAGGAGACGCTGACCCAGTTCTTCCACAACGGACAGCGCCTGAGGAAGGACCTTTTGGAGCCCGTCCTGCGCAAGCTCTCGGAGCTCAGGGTGGCGCTGGAGCGCCAGGACTCGTACCGCTTCTACTCCAGCTCCCTGCTCATCATCTACGAGGGCCAGGAGGAGTGCCGAGTGGGCAACGGGCACGGCGATGGAGCGACGGGCGCGTTGGCGGCGAAAGTGGACGTGCGCATGATCGACTTTGCTCACACGACGTGCCGGACGTTTCTAGACGACCCAGTGGCTTACGATGGGCCGGATGAGAACTGCATCATCGGGCTGTGCAGCTTGATCCGCTTCCTCTGTCAGGTGAAGCAAGAGGCCGAGAACGTGGCCGTCAACGGCCACGCGCACGAGACGAGCTCGGCGCAGCTGGATCCGGCATCGCTGTGTACTCCAAGCCGGTGACCCGGCGAGGGTAGGGGAAACCGGTGCACGGCCAGTGCTGTCCGAATGAGTTCTCTTCACCGAGGAAAAAAAATAATACGGTGTTCTCAAGGATTAAAAGACACTCCTGAAAGCGAGACTTGGGCCCAGTGTCAGTAGAAGTACGCAAATCTGGTCACCCACACCCCCCCCCCCAACACATTAGTTTGTTGTCCTTCCGCCGCACCTCCGATTAGCGCGGTTGGCTACGTACGGTGCGAAAGAAGTTAAACAAACATCCACTGGATTTTGAGACTCGTCCCCAAACTTCAGATTTAAATTACAGGGGGGGGGCACAGTGTGACTTATGATCCATAGAATACGGCGATTGTAGCAAGTGTACAACTCATGTAATTTTAATATTTGCACGCCTCATAGAATAGCATTTTAACTCGAGGGCTGAAACGTTTAAGCTACCAAAAAAAGCAAGTCGGGGAAGTAAGCCATGGTTACGGTGTACATCGTTGTGGTTGTGCTGCATAGGGGGAGCGGTGGTGCAGCGGTTACGCCGCGCTACGAACCCGGCGACCCGAATTCGATTCCCGCTCACGGCCAACACCGGTGACGATTAACTGAACCGGTCCTGGGCCTCCCCTAGGTCGACTCGGCCTCAAGTGAGTACCTGATGTGATGTGTAAAAACATCGCCACTGGGGGGGGTGGGGGGGGGAGGAGACAAAGGCGGTCGGGCGTGGTGCTGGCCACCCACTCCCTACGTGTGCCGTGCCGTCCTTCGTATGTGCTCGCTTAACAGCACTGGACCCAACGGTCTGTTAGGGCTATACGGGGGGGGCGGCGGTCTTTGTCTTTAGCAGCGTAGTGCTCTGGTGTGGTGTGCGCTCGCGTTGTGGCGCGTGTTGTTCGTCGGGAACTGAACGCCCCGGAAACGCCTCCCGGCCGCGTGCAGCCACAATATGTTGGACATGGCGCCACCATTGCTCTCAAATTTTTCGCATCTTTTTGGACCTTGAACGATGCTTTTGCAACGAAAGGGCAATTGCACAAATCCTAACACACGTTAATGTATCCTGCAAATTGTACGGCTTTCTGTTCCAAGTGAGGGCGCTTAATGTTCTGCTCAAGTAGTCATAAGTTCTGCTCATCACCGAGGCTTACACCTGTGCGTGGCGTTTTTTGTAAATGTAAGTCGCGAAACATGTCCAGTGTCAACGTTAGTTAACATCACTGCTATTTATTACAGATTTAAATGTTTCACTCTGCAAAGCTTCATTGAGCCTCAGAATGAGTGTTTATTTCAGGATGACCTTGTTTGGAAGGTTTGGGCCAATTTAACTGCGAGTGTTGTTAAGCATGGGAGGGAACCCAATGTCTCAGGAAACCCTATAATTAGTTTTGTTTAAATACATTAATCTACGTTAATGTTACAAAACTGTGCTCGACAACCAAGCATCGTAATAGAAATGAACATGTGGACTAACGCCGAAATCGGGTCAAATATTTCCATAATTTCAACTTTTAACACTTGTATTTTCTTGTACTTCGAATAATACGAATCCTGTGAAGCTCTCGGTTCACGTAAACCTGAGCTGGATACAAACCTTGTGATTGAGAAACCTTCAACATCCCCCCCCTCCCACCATGTTTAACTTTGAATGCCCCTGAAACTGCAGGTGTGCAATATTTGATCTGGAATGGTCCATTTATTGCCAGGGGAGAGGGGGGGATGAGAAGGGAAATGGACTTCCGTGTACAGAGTGAACTAGTGAAATGTGCTACTTTAAGATATGAAAAAAACAAAGCAATGTCGACATCGGATGTAACTTTTAAGACTACCTGGTACTAACAGATATTTCTTTCAAACTGCTTTTCGTGTTTAGTTTGTTGTCTTTCCCCCGCACCTCCGATTAACACGGGTTGGCCACGTACGGTGTGAAAGAAGTTCTACATACATACGAATATAATTGGTAGAAAATTACCGAGTAGGTTTTTTGTCGTTGTGTTGTAAAAATGTCAAACGTATTTTTCGAGTCGTGCAGCCTGTTTGGCACAATGGCCGACGTTTCGCTCCACGTGTTCGGAGCTTCTTCAAACACCCGAAGCTCTCGGCACTTGGAGAGCATTGTCGCACATCGTGCTAAACGACGGATCCGAGGGCTGTCGAATTGCATACACAAGTTACATACGTTTCACATGAAAGTAAAAAGAGCGATCATAATATTTTTACCGATTTTTTTTTCCTATGCAAACCTCTCCGTTTACATGCACTGTCAACGTGTGAATTGCCATTTTTGATTAATGCGACTTGTTCGTTACTTTACTCGTTGAACCAATAATTGTTTTTTTGGGAGTGGACCTCGTGACACCGCACACAAACTCCTCAGTCACAACGGGAACACGTGCAGCGGTTATGACGTCATCCGACGGCATTTACAAAATGGCGGTATTTTCCTTTTGATTGCTAATCTCCCGGTGACGGCAGAAGACAATTGGCGCCCCAAGCGAGGCATTTAAGCCACCGATCCTCTACCCCCGTGCTCGTGTCCCGCCCTACCCTGGCCTGGCTATGACACGGCACCGACTGGTCATCCACCCTGGGCTATGATTCGAGGTTTTTGGAATGGCCGACCAGAGTGTGAAGATACGCATGAATGAACGTAAAGAGAGTGTAGATGGCTCACCGATGTGAAGACATGCCAAGACGGTCTTGGTTGTAGTCTGTGGAATGAATGTGCCTTCACAACGAACCGCTGCCGATCTTTAAATGAACAGGCAGCTCGTGTGCAATTTGTACAGTGGCCTATTCATCTGGCACGTCCACAGAAATGAAAGGATTGTTGACAGAGTTTCACACACAAAGCAGGTGGCTTCTACTCTTGATGCATCGCTTGAACGATTCACTTCATTGAATATCGTCTTACATTCAGGATGCACATGTTAAAGAGTGTGATCATTTGTTTTTTTTTGTTACGCTGCATGCAAATATTCACGGTATGCTGTTACAAATGAAGGTGCAGCGAGGGAAGAGGTCTGCACAAACAAGACGGTCAAACACGCGAAACAAATACCATCTGAGATGTTACAAACGATGTAAAATTAGAACCGATTCTTGAATGGAAAGACGACCCTGAATGACGACTATCCCATTCGCTGTCGGGGTGAATGATTCTATGCTTACTCTTTAACTCTTCTTGGTTCTTTCGGTAAAGTCACGTCGAATGTAAATAATAAAATAATAAAAATAAAACATAATAAAATATATATTATATTATTTTATATTATATTATTTTATTATGTTTTATGTTTATTATTTTATTATTTCCATTCTATGTGACTTTACCGAAAGAACCAAGAAGATGAATCCCTGCAGTCACGAAAGCTTTAAATCGAAATTTTACTCTTTAACTGTTTAGAGATGGTAAAGATAAGTAGACTAATCTTCAAAAAAAATATAAGAGTGGAATATTTTTAGCAAGTAATTGTTTTTATTTCATCTCGCGTCGTCTATTCCACGTGGTTAAAGGTTAATTAAGTTATCCATTTAATGCACCGTGTTGAATGTTAATGTTTGGTTGACATTTGTTAAATTCGTCCTCGGCTTAAGTACTCGCCTTGATTTCATTTTAAACGGTGACGGATACACTCCTATGTTCTCATTTCAGTGTTTTATAAAGTTAAATACCGACATGCGCTGCATTGCAGTTACATTGTCAGGGTGGTGGCCACCCATTATTGCCATGGGCTGTGTTTTACATACACATCGACTCGGCAACCTGTATGAAGTTGCCAAGACTATTGAATGAAAGTGGTTTAAAATGTGCAAATGTACAGTAATAAACATCTGTAATTATATTCTTGGTTCTTTCGGTAAAGTCACGTAGAAGGGAAATAATAAAATAATATATATTAAACAATAAAAATTCTCACGACATTTCGACTGCAACACAAGCAATCATCATTAGGTGTGAAATCCACAGCAAGAAAATTTGAAAAAAAAGTGGCGGTTTGTCCTAACGTCAGCACCACAGACAGCGATTTGGCAGTTGCTGTGGATTTCACACCTGATGATGATTGCTTGTGTTGCAGTCGAAACGTCGTGAGAAATTATTATTGTTTTATATTTGTATTTTATTATTTCCCTTCTACGTGACTTTACCGAAAGAACCAAGAATATAAATCCCTGCAGCCATGAAAGCTATAAATCAAAAATCTGTAATTCTGTTTAATGCGTAACGCTTGGTTTTAGACAAGTTAATGATTCATGCCAATTGGTCACGTTTGTATTTGCAATTATCATCCAAATAAATCAACATTTTCATTGAACATTGCCTTTTATGAACAATTTGGCCCATATTGGCCCTGAATGTGTTTTTCTGTCCTAAACAAGTTGAACAATCACCCTGCTCGAATGGCCATCGGAGGGTGCTCATCTCAGTTTATGATGACATTACTCTGGCGGGGAGGGGGAAGGGGGGGTTGGTCAGGGGCGTAATTCAACTCACTAGTACTGTATAAGATAAGCAATCCACATGCTCCCCAACTGTTGGGTCAAATAAACAAAAACGTGTGGTACTGCATTGGCAGTGGTGTACAAACAACACAAATTGCACAAGCGTTAACAGAACTGCCCTGAGAAGCAAACTCTATAACGGACGTTTTGGACAACGAGTGACTTCTCTCTGCCATAATCAACGTGTGGAGTTTTCATTACAAATAGACTTGGTGCCGTCAAACATGTATCTCTTCCAGTTCAGGTAGATAAACACATTCCTGCGGAGGGAGCTGGTAGGAACGTTGGGTTGCTCGGTCAATGGCCAGGGTCAACGGCGGCGTGGTGTCTTCCGCAAATATGCCCGACTGTGAGGGCGGGCACAAGCCGGCGTGAGTAGGTTAAACGTTGAGTTTTATAAGGGCACCACGGGGTGACCAGCCCCTCCCCAGTTTTGTTGCCAGATAAAAGGGTAAAAAAACAATTACTGTATCATGGTTGTTTTTATTTTGCAACGGCGAGCTTGGGTATGCAGGCTGCAGAGTTCACATTTGCAGTGACCTTCATATTTGTGTGTCTCTCCAGGAGTGCCGTGAGTTGTCGCCTCATTGCAAATCACTGGCAACGTCTCGTCCAGGAAGGAAGGGAAGTAGGTGGAATGGGGGGGGTATCCGCATAGGGGCTCAATGCGGTCAAATACATGACGATGAAATGTAATACGAGCAGGTAAATAAACAACGACGACTTCAATAGTACCATAGTAGTCGTCGTCGTGGCAACGCCGCTGCTGTAACACGATAGCCACTGCGGGCGAACCGAGCAGGTGGCTTTGATGTTTTAAAATATATATATAGATTTAGGGGCCGTCCATAAATGACGTCACGCACCTAGGGGGGAGTCAGATATTTGTGACGATGTGTGACGAGGGGTGGTTTGGTGTGACGTGACATGAAAATGCGCAACTTTAAATACGTATAGACAACACGTTCTACTTATTTAAATAGACTTTTTAATAAATGTTTTCTCCTACAACATCAGAGTGCAGCGCCACATTAAATACGCACTACAATGACAATAGTTTAAAGCGATTTGAAGCATGTTGAATTTTTTTGGGGGGGCAGAGCTTTGTGACGTCATATTTGAGGGGGGGGTCTGACTTTTTGTGACGCCGTGTGACGAAGGGGGGGGGGTGTCAAAAATCGTCCAAAATCGCGTGACGTCATTTATGGACGGCCCCTTACGCCGACTTACCGTCCGGACTTTGCGTTCTCAATTCACGGCAAAAAAAATCACCGTCGGGTACTTCCTTGGCAAAAGTTGCGCACAGTCGCAAAACAAAAAACAAAACATTTAAATAAATCTCGTTCGCAGATTCGGTTCGTCGTTCTTGAGCGCTGGGCACGAGAACTCGATTGACGGTGGCGGCGTTGCAGCGGCCGTGCAAGGGACCGTCCATAAATGACGTCACGCGATTTTGGACGATTTTTGACCCCCCACCCCTCCCTCGTCACACGGCGTCACAAAAAGTCTGACCCCCCCCTTTCAAATATGACGTCACAAAGCTCTGCCCCCCCCCCGTCCCCCAAAACCATATTTTCATTTTGAAAATAAAACATGCTTCAAATCGCATTAAACTATTGTCATTGTAGTGCGTATTTAATGTGGCGCTGCACTCTGATGTTGTAGGAGTGTTGTTATAACAATTAGTGTAGTTATAATAATTATATATTTATTTTTTCTTCTCCTTGGTTCTTTCGGTAAAGTCACGTAGAAGGGAAATAATAAAATAATACAAATAAAACATAATACAATAATTCTCACGACGTTTCGGCCACAACGCAAGCAGACGTCCTCAGGTGAAGAACAGGTCTGTCGGAAAGACAGAACAGGTCTGTCGGAAAGACAGCGTCTGAATGAAACACCACCAGGCTTGGAGCTTTATTATGTTTAATTTTAATTATTTTATTATTTCCCTTCTACGTGACTTTACCGAAAGAACCAAGAAGATGAATCCCTGCAGTCACGAAAGCTTTAAATCGAAAATTATATATTTATTGAAAGTTGCGCATTTTGATGTGACGTCACATTTCTCACCCCCCCCCCCTCCTCGTCACACATCGTCACAAATGTCCTACCCCCCCCACCCCCCTAGGTGCGTGACGTCATTTATGAACGGCCCCTAAGGGCAACTCAAACGCTGTGCTCTTATTTGTGAGCGGCCACCTGCAGAAGACTGCCGCGGGAGGGATGTGTGTGGTGTGAAAGCTGCGACGACGGAAGATGCGGGACACTTGCTCGGCTGCATTCCAGCCCCAACCTCTCACTTGCAGCGCCCTCGGCGGTGACTTCGTTTCATCCACGAACGGCTCCGCGAGCGACATCTTCGTCAAACGCACCCAAGGATTAGGGACCAATTTAGTGTTCCGTTCAGTTGCTGGTGTGTGCGGCGGTGGCGCTAGGCAATGCACCAAATATTCGCTCGATTTCACGTCTCAACATGAATGAGAAGAGACAATTAAGAGAAAGAAGCTACCATCATTGGAACCTCAGACTGACACCTTTTTTTTACAAGGAGTCATGTTTGCATTGACCACAATACTTGCGGTCGGAATGCAAAGAACACAACTCTGATAATGTATGCACTGTCCTTGAAATTGATTGGTCCACACTCGAGACAGCTTTTCTTAGAGCCTAGTCTCACATGGTGTTGGACCAGATGACGTCAAAAGGCACACAACTCAAAGACAATACATTATCAGAGTTGTGTTTTTTGTTTGCATTCCGACCGCAGGTATTGTGGTCAATGCAAACATGACTCCTTGTAAAAAAAACAGGTGTCAGTTTTGTTGGCAGATAAAAGGGAAAAAAAGCAATTATCATATTTTGCTACTGGCAAAGGAGGTTCTAATGAAATAAAAACCTGCCCCATTGTTTCAACTGCCGCGCCTGGAGGTCAAATCGAACCGGCGACCTCTGGATTGCATGTTCAGTGTGCGAACCATTGCACCACAGCAGCATCCCAACTACTACAGTTTATTGATTACAAACAATATATTTATATATATATAGAATAATGAGCCTCATCACATCAAGACCACCACCACAGCATGAGAACCTGTGTCTACATGGCGTAAGTGCTGCGAGAGAAAGTTCAATGACAGCACGAGCTACCTGCAATGCAACAGCCGGAAACCCCGGTGTTGGTGGCGGTGACGTCATGTTAACGACCTCGCCATGTATGCAGCAAGGGTTCGTCCGTCTAAATGACGTCACGCACCTGGGGGGTGGGGGGTCAGACATTTGTGACGATGTGTGACGAGAGGAAGGGGGGTGAGAAATGTGACGTCACATCAAAATGCACAACTTTAAATAAATACAGACAACACATTCTACTTAATTAAATATACTTTTTAATACATGTTTTCTCCTACAACATCAGAGTGCAGCGCCAAATAAAATTCGCAATACAATGACAATAGTTGAAAGCGATTTGAAGCATGTTTTATTTTCAAAATGTAAATACGGTTTAGGAGGGAGGGGGGGCAGAGCTTTGTGACGTCATATTTGAGGGGGGGGGGGTCTGACTTTCTGTGACGCCGTGTGACGAGGGGGGGGGGGGTCAAAAATCGACCAAAATTGCGTGATGTCATTTATGGACGGCCCCCAAGTCGTTAATTCGAGCCCGAACCTGTCGTCTGGATATGTAGAATTTGCGTGTCTCTCTCCCCGTGGTCGCGTGGATTTCTCTCCGGGTCCTCCGGTTTTTCCCTCCACATTTTAGCAACACGCGCTCCGAGTAGCTGGCTGCTGTACATTCCCACACGACGAAGAGCCGCTTCGTTGAGCTCTCATTTGTGGCTAGTCAGCTTCCGAAAAAAAAGATCGAAATAGCTCAAGTGGGCCTTACATGGAAAATCGAAATAAATAACAAAACCGAGCGGCATTTATTTTAAACACATTCCTGCGGAGGGAGCTGGTAGGAACGTTGGGTTGCTCGGTCAATGGCCAGGGTCAACGGCGGCGTGGTGTATTCCGCAAATATGCCCGACTGTGAGGGCGGGCACAAGCCGGCGTGAGTAGGTTAAACGTTGAGTTTTATAAGGACACCACGGGGTGACCAGCCCCTCCCCACCCAGCCCCTCCCCACCCCTCCCACCCCCCACCCAGCCCCTCCCTCCCCACCCAGCCCCTCCCTGCACGACGGACGGACACAATAATCCCCTGTGGGCTGGTGTAACCAGGAGGTTCCTACCAGTACAAGGCCACAACACACTCAGCCGACGAGACACACGAAGTCAGTGCCGGTGCGTCCCATGCGAAACGCACGCGGCTCAAGGGCTCAAAGGCGCACAGAGGGGGTTGACAGACGGCCGCGAAAGGTGACAGCTTGCCGAGAAAGTCGACCGCAGTGTGGACATTCGTTGAGTTTTCATTTGTTCAGCTGATGCCGTGGGTGTCTGTGGGCGCCGCGCGTCCACGGTGACATTGTGGCGCCCACGTGGGCGTCATAGAAGGGTCTCAACTTCTCGTTTGTGCATCGCCATCTAGTGGGCGTGCTGGACGATGTCTATTTTACTGGAAGGAACCGCTAGGTTACACCAGCCCACAGGGGATTATTGTGTCCGTCCGTCGTGCAAGGAGGGGCTGGGTGGGGAGGGAGAGGCTGGGTGGGGAGGGGGGGGTGGGGAGGGGCTGGGTGGGGATTTTGGGGCTGGGTGGGGAGGGCGGGGAGGGGCTGGGTGGGGAGGGTGGGGCTGGGTGGGGGGTGGGAGGGGTGGGGCTGGGTAGGGAGGGGCTGGTCACCCCGTGGTGCCCTTATAAAACCCAACGTTTA